AAACAAAAGATTTAAATTTGTCTCAACTTTGGCAATATTAATAATTTTTGTAGAAAAAACAATTACTGATGGAGACTTCAGAAGCATGAAAATAATTTTGAGCATTTTGTCTTGGGCGATGTACTAAATAATTTTCTTTTTCAAAATTCTAGGACCATCCGTTTCGCTAATACAATAATTCCGGGAAATTTCGAACACCGCGCTATTGCTTATTAGGGCCTTTACCGACCGGAGTCGACGCGCAACCGATTTTAACTGGGCCACAGGGCCGTCGTTTATCGATCATCCGTGCCGGTTAAAAACAAATCACAACATTGCTGTTCCGGTTTCCCGAAAAGAAACGACTTTGTTTCGCTCAAGAAGTGCGACAAAGATGTCTTATAAATCAGCCAATGGTGTGAAACTGTCGAAGTGCGATTCGAAACAGTGGAAGACCAGCAGCACCACCACAATATTAGAGTCGTCGGTGAAATTCGCAGGCGAAGAAGCCAAGGACCGCCTCTACGAGCCCAAACACAAGAAGAAGCTGGTCCGCGTGCTCACAGTCGTCGCTTACGTGTTTTTCGTGTCCCTTGCGGCCATTATGTTGTCCCTTTATTACATGTTTTTGTGGCACGGCGACGCTAAACCCAAGCCGTCCGAACGGGGCTCGTTCAATCACAAGCGTTGCGACGAAATCATAGCAGGTAATTTTCGTTTGAAAAATTCGGGATCGATAATCTTTTTTTTTCAATAATTATGATTCGATCGATCCCAACGATAGAGTAAAGTAAAAAAATAGAATGGAATAGAATAGATAGAATTTATTTAGCAACTTCAAATCACTACAGATACACTGAGATATTGCACCCGGTATCGGTTTTGTGGAGTAACTCACCTATTAGTAAAGAGTAGATGGATACGGTTTTCGCGACTCTGTACTACTTTTTCGAGAAACAAAAAATCTGCAAACAGATTTTTTATAGGCCTAGTATCTCGATTATTCGAAAGAAAAGAAGAAAAAGATAAAAGTCGGATTGCTACCGCTTTTAAGCAGAATTCAGTGGCATAGTCCGATCTTCAATTATTTTTGAAAAATATTTTTGTTAAATGGGTCACCCTGTATATTTTTGGATAATACGATTGAGTTTGTCAAGGGCATCTTAAAAATATTTCAAACTCCTTGAGTTTCTCTCAGAATACCGCGGTTTGTGTTTTTTTTAATTAGTGTTACAAATTTTAATTAAAAGCTCAAACCAATGGCATCCAAACTTACTGTTTTAAATATATTTAAGATGCTCTTGGCAATGTCAATGGTGTTATCAAAAAACACACAGGATGAACCATTTAAAAATATAAGTTTGGTCTATTTCTCGAAAATAATTGAAGATGGAAAAATTCAAAATGTGCCACTGAATTCTGACTAATAAACGGCAACAAACCTACTTTTCACTTTTCATATAAGCTTTAGAATATCCGAGATACGAGGGGTGACCCAAAAAGCAAAGCTTCTAAAAAATTATTTCGTAAATAATAAATTTCCGGAATAGACAACATTATGCAAAGTCGCCTCAATTTTTAATGCCAAATCGGATAAAATTAGAAAAATTGACTTTTTGGGTTTTTTATAATTTAATTTTTTTATTAAATCAATTTACAGCGAAAATATCCATCCAATATATAAAAATAGGCCACCTTCTACAAGAAATGCATCCAAAATTAAATAAGGTCCCTTAGAAAACATTGAAGTTTTGATATAAATTTGAAGATTTGCCGAAACGGTTAGACTTAGGTCCAGGACATTATATGTATATGAACCCCAGATGAACGGAACACCACAAGGTTAAACAAGGCAAAATTTTTATATTTATATATAGTATCTGATCAAAAAAGCTTACAGCGAGTAGTAGCATTTTTGAACAAGAAATTCCTCCAAGAATACCCATAATTCAGGGGATTTTTGCTTACTTACAGCTTACAGATAATCTTGAGAATTGTTGAACTAGGTTTAATTTATCAAGTGTATCATATTTATTAAAGGAAAAACAGAAAAATGTAAATCGATGATAATATCAATATGCCCAGAGATACAAAGCAATTTCTGCGTGAGCTTTGAAGTATAAAAAATTTAAAGCGTTTCAGACCGTTAGTTTCTCTCAAATTTCTTATTACAAAACAATTGAAACTGAAATGGTGATTTTTACATGTTAGTTTTTGATCCAGTTTTATTTCTAAGAATGTAAAATTTGTCACTTGGTCGCATTTAATGCTAGCCCATTGTCATCATACCATTCGCTCAGAATTGAAATGTACATGTATAAATGTAAACAAGCATCAAAGTTATGTATTTTTTAAATTGGAATGCCTACAAAATTTGTTATCTAATCATTTAATTGTTTAATAATAAGAGCAATAATCAGTAACGTCTTTAAAAGGTTTTAAAAGTTCCAACCAATGAAAGATTTCAAAATCTGGGGCAGTCTGGGTCTGGGTGCAATTCAAAACTGCAATAGATGATAACAAAGGATCCTTTATTTTTGCCATTCTTTCCAACATATCGTAATTTGATTTCCATCTTGTCACCATGATTATCGAGCTTAAGCTCAGGATAACCCATTTGTTTCTGTAACCTTTGTAGAAGATATGTTGCGAATAGCAGCTTTAATATTTGCAGCATTATCCGTGACTACCCAGCCTATTTTTTCTAAAATCTGCCATTCCATCAAGAGATTTTTAATTGATCCAAATCCAAATCAATAAAATGTGCTGTTAATGACTGATAGCATTCATTATTCAGCGATATCTCTCTATCTGTCTATCTGTGGTAAAGGCAACATAATTTGCCATTGACAGCTTCTCTCATAAATAATGTTGACTGGCATTTTCTTTTTGGATTTGGGATCTCTACTATACAATCACGTCATAGTATCGAACGACCAATTCCGCTTGTTCCTAACGATTCGATTACTTTGTTCGCTCTCGCTGCCGTCCTGACCGGTCTGAACTGTGACGAAAGTTTAAGATTAAAACACATGACAGGGACAAACTACCGAAAAGGAATCGGTGTATTGTTATAATTTTTTTATAGTATTGAGTTGCGATATCGATCGCTAGGTTTGCTTATGTGTTGAATTGAATATTGAATGAAATATCTATTTCCACGCAGTTATTTTATTTAAACAAATTAATATATTACTCGTACAACCTACGTATTGGGTTAATAAAATGTGCTGTTAATGACTGATAGCATTCATTATTCAACGATATCTCTCTATCTGTCTATCTGTGGTAAAGGCAACATAATTTGCCATTGACAGCTTCTCTCATGAATAATGTTGACTGGCATTTCCTTTTTGGATTTGGGATCTCTACTATACAATCATGTCATAGCATCGAACGACCAATTCCGCTTGTTCCTAACGATTCGATTACTTTGTTCACTCTCGCTGCCGTCCTGACCGGTCTGAAGTGTGACGAAAGGTTTAAGATTAAAGCGCATGACAGGGACAAACTACGGAAAAGAAATCGGTGTATTGTTATAATTTTTTTATAGTATTGAGTTGCGATATCGATCGCTAGGTTTGCTTATGTGTTGAATTGAATATTGAATGAAATATCTATTTCCACGCAGTTATTTCATTTAAACAAATTAATATATTACTCGTACAACCCAATACGTAGTACCTATTTTGATAAAATCATGATTCAATAAAAAGTAAAACACAGCTAAATATTATACTACTAAAACAGAAAACAAAAAAAAACACAACAATAATTCAAGTTCAAATTAATCTCAATCGGTCGTTCAGACTGGACGGATTCAGTGACTATTGCCACTTACGGTTTATAGCTTGCAGTTGGTAACAAAAAATATTGAAATGAACGAACGAACGAAAGACACAACACTAATTTCAGGAACTCGTGGCCTACGATGAAATCACGAACCGTATCATGCGCCTACTGCGCGACTACGTGACTGTCAGAATTGACAAAAATCAAAATACCACGTCTAAAATTTAACAATATCCGGTCGCTTCCAAACCCGTGATTAAAATGCCGGAAGTGTCCAAAGTGGCTGGCAACTATGGGTAACAAAGCTGACGTCTGACACCATTAAAATTATTATTATTTATGAATAAGTTTTAGCAAATTTTGATTCTGAGGTTTGCTTGTACTTGTCAAAAATGACATTTTTGATGAGAAATATTAAATTAAAATAATAATTTTAGTTAGCGTTGGAGTTCTTTTGTAATCAAGTTTGTCTGAATTTTTTGTAGAAAACCGAAAAAGAAACAACTTGTGAAAAGTGAAAAAAAAAAGTCACAACTAATTAATAAAAAATGTTTCTATATGATGCGATGACAATGTATATACACGATGTTTCCAACCAAAATTTACGAGGGTGAATCCTTGATTTATGTTAAAAACGAAAATAGAATAAAATATTATGTATTACTATTATATTTTATAAAACAAACGGGGGGATTGAATTAGACTACCCACCTCAATCTTCTTAACTAAATTTAAAGAAATATTTATGTAATGACAATGAAAAAAATAGTTTTATTGCAATTGTTTCATAAAAATTAGTTTCCAAATAAAAAGTAATGTAAAGCATTACATGTCGAAGAAAAATAATTTAGTAGGGTGCTGGCACACTGTTGTATTTTGTACCTTTTAAAAAATTACATTTTACAAATAATTTGTTAATAAATATTTTTGAAACAATAAATCGTGACCATAGAAGTAAAGAAGAAGAAGAAACCAATACAGCAATAATAAGAAGTGGTTGGCTTTTGACACAACGTTTGTATAACAAACTACCCTTTATTTTAAACAAGGAATCACCCTCTTAAGTTTTTCGTATTTGTTTGCTCCGTTTTCATTGCATCCCATGCTCTCCAGTTCCCAGATTTGATGTTCACAAATCATTGGGGACTATTTTTATAAAATATGTAATGCTCCTACCATTTTTTATGAGCCAGTCAATACATTAATTAAGTGTTTTTTTTTTGTTTCAGAAATGCAACAACAACTGAACTTACTGAAAGCGCAACGCTGGAATATTTCAACGTCACCACCGCAAATTGAAGAAAACATTACCTGGTTAGATTACTCGGAGACCCCCGCCGAAATCCAAAGAAGTAGCTTTTTGAAGAAACTCCAGACTCAATACTTTTCCAAGCGAAACTTATAGACGAGGGTGAACCTACTTCTTTTGTAAATAAAAATTTGATCTGTCTTCAGCCTACTTATGTATATGTTGCCTTATAAATGTATATTTTATTAGAATTCTAGAATATCGCCTTAACATTAACACGTATATAGTTTTAATAAAAAATCTTATCAAGCAGTCATTTTCTTGAAAATTCGAATATTATTGCAGCTAAGATTAAAGATTTCACATACGGTTAGCATCTGGTGTAGTATTTAAAACAAAACCATATAAAAACAAGATTGCTTTCGAAAAATGGTCACTGGGCGAGGCAAGTTTGTGCCGCGTAGCACGAAGCTGCCTTATATTTCAACAAAATCGATGTAATTTTATCGTGCATACACCCTGTATAAAGCGTTTTTTACTTATCGCCGAAGTTCGAAGTCACAGCAAACTTTGATAAATATAAAAAATTGTACAAGTAATAACGATTTCCAATTATATTATCCCAAGTATCTCGCGTATGATATACTGGCACCACATTCGAGACTGTTTTATAGTTTTTCAATTACGGCTAATAATTTATCCACGAAAATGTCAATTTTCAGGGTCACTTAGATTTTTTAACCATAATCGACAGATCCTGGACATATTTGAAAAAAATCCGGAAATGGAGGTTATAGCCCTGGATCTTCCACGTGTTCTGGTCCAAGGATTCTTCCAAAATAGTGAATGTTTTTCCAGAAAATAAGTTTTTTCTGAAACCATGCAGTGCGCTGTAATAATCAATGACGTCATCGCGTCTTGACAGCCTCCGGGATAGTGATTTTTATATATATACAAAAATTGTAGCTCTTGACCGATTGGCCATATTTTTTACGATTTTTGTATCGCGGTTAATAATTTACTCTGGAAAAGAACAATTTTCTGCGTCTTTTAAGATTTTTGTCTATAATTGGAATACCCTGTATAAGATCGAAAAAATGTCTGAAATAAATGTTATAGCACTGGATCTTCCGCGTCTGCTGGTTAAAGAATTTTGACGATCCGGTGAATGGTTATAGAGAAAAGCATGTTTTTCTGGAAGCCAAAATAACCACAAAAAAAGTCAGATTTTTAAAAAAAATACTTGATGAAATTTGATTGCACCAAATTTCCACTGTTTAAATGTGGGCATGGACTTTTACTTCACTGCTAAATTTGAAGTCGATATCTTCAAATTTGGGACACTTAGCAGATTTCTTATATAGCACGGAATATCGGGAACACCCTTTACAATAGGTGAAAACCTTAAATACAAAAGTTTTAGCTGTTTATACGGGCTCTATCACCATGTAACCATCTAACATCTGAAATACAGTCTTTTAGTTATATCCAATTTTCAATATTAAGGTGACTCATTTTTCAGTTTTGTTGAATATGCGGCGCACTCTCCAAATCTTGTGCGTCTTCTCGTTCAAGATTTTTTTTGGTAGCGTTAACGTTTATATACATTACATATATATACATATATATATATATATATATATATATATATATATATATATATATATATATATATATATATATATATATATATATATATATATATATATATATATATATATATATATATATATATATATATATATATATATATATATATATATATATATATATATATATATATATATATATATATATATATATATATATATATATATATATATATATATATAATACAAAATATTTCCCACCCCGCTCCCTCCCCATTTTAATAGCTTTTGCCTGCCAAATTTGAAGTCGATAGCTTCACTTATTACTTATCGTGTTTCATAGCAACGTCCAAAAGTTTTAAATCGAAAAAAAGGATGGACGCTGAAGCTTGAACGCAGCCATTTTTACATTTCTTATTCCCGTGGACGGTTAAAAAGGACGCTGATTATTTGTGTACCAATGGCGGTCTCTAAGCTTGATTTCTTTATGGGTGCTTCGATTCGTAGTGAAATTAACAATCGTTCGCTTGTTTTATATCGGTATAAAGGTCGTCGGCTGATATCTCCTATGCTCGGTGTATTTAGATAGGCAGCTGATTGCTTTCCTAAATCTTAATAAAAAATGGTTTTCGGTCCCTTTTGGGTAAGCGGACCATATCTAGGGTACTTTCTGAAACATAACTTTCTTCTCGTGGAGGTTTCGTGCTTTACAAAATTGTTCCAGATGTTGTTTTTTTTTCTCGACCTTGCAACCTTCTGGCAACATTCTCCATCTAGTCAGCGTTAAATACAATTGGTTAATCATGAAATACTGGCACTTTAATAGCATTTAGTTAATAATAATTTTGGATTCAATTTTAATCACCTACCTACTAAAAGTGGTTGTCGATAGATGTTTTGTGTTACCTGTTATGCCAAACTTAAAACTGCTTCACTGCAAGAACCAGTGCGCTGGATTCAGACCTTTCGATCCATTATGCCCGCACGTCTTCAATCCTTAACCCGGAAGAGCCCTGTATTCTCGAGAAAGTACAATGCCTCTTCCATGGGGAGTTTTAGTTCCTCAGGTTGAATGAATTGAGCTTCGGGGTTTCTCAATCGGCTGCCCCCTAGTGGTGCGCAACTGTTTAGGAGATGAATTGGAGGAGTTTCCTTTTCTTCTAAACACTGCATGCATGTGCTGTCGTTGTCCATCTCCAAGATATCGGGATGGCAGTGTCCTTTTAGCATTCCTACCAGCGTTTGTAGTCGCGCGACTGAAGCTGAGAGCCCATTTTTGACCCTGAGGAGTAGAGGATCCCGCAACTACAAACCTTGGCTGCATCATTCCCGCTAAAGTTTCCCAATGCAGAACGACCTGCCTATCGAGCCATCAATGCACTTGGTCTATAACACGCTGTCTGCTATTCCAACCGAAGGCTCCGATCATAGAGACTATGTTGCAGTCGCATCCTGAGTCAGTCTGCTTGCCATGTCGGCTTCTATACATACATGTATATATGCTTGTCTGAGTACCATATATGCCATATATCCCAGCTCCTGTTCCAGTGTCCCCTTTTGGCCCCGTCCATATACCAGACAAGCCTATGAGGGACAAGAATATTTTCTCCCGCACGGAGCCAGTCGTCCTTTTATTTAGTGTATGCATAAGGTAGCCTCAATCATGTCCGTCCGTCTTCACAGACAGAGCATCTTAATCCCGCCTGAGACAGGCAGACAGACAAGCCATTATGCAGCCCAGTGGAGCGCGACGATACCCAGGTACCAATGCGGCGCAGGTAAAGAGCGGTCTTACCAGCATCGTGTACATCCAGAACGCAACTTCTGACCACGCCTCAATTGGATCCCCAGAGGCGACGGCACATCCACAGAGATGCGCCTTCGGGCTTGTTTCATTGACATAAACGTCCAGGAGAGCTTGGAGTCCAGGGTCACCCCTAGATACTTTAGTGTCCGAACCCGATTTCCACATCACGAGCTGCAAAACAGGACGACGAATTAAGCAAAGACGCTTACCTCATTAAAAAAAATGAGGTGAGGGTGCAGGTCAGTTAAAAAATAAACAGAGAGAGAAAATATATAAAATAGTGTTTATTCAAATGTCAATCAGACCCTGTAACTATCATATGCACCTTCCTCTCCGATAGTGCCATCTGGGCAGCCCGATCGGTTCCTACTACAGCGGACAATTGCATAATGTCGTATTTTGAATACATAATAGTCACTGACATATTAGTTACATTTCCAACTTTTCTGTTCATGTTGGACTCCTAAAAATATTTGCGATGCCGCCAACATTCTCACATAACACAGGGTGAGGTTATACCTGCATCAAGTTGCACATTTCATTGTAAAAATGTGGCATAGTGGGTGGTTGGTAAAAGATCAAGTGCCTTATGCCCTTAATACGTATTCTGTTGTAAAAGTGGTATCTTTCAGTATATAGGAGAAAATGGGCATCTCCGTGGTAAAACATATCGCGAGCTCTTGCCACTTTGTTTTCCTGCAATGGGAAAAGTACGGATTTAAATTTGAGTTGATTTAAAATGAGTGACGTATCGAAATTATTTGTTTTTTAGTTTATGTGTTGATATATATATATATATATATATATATATATATATATATATATATATATATATATATATTGAAGATGCCAAGTGAGATTTTGGCGAAACGTCTGCAGGATTCCAGTCGGATGCAAGATTTGCAGGATTCCAGTCGGATGCAGGATTCCAGTCGGAGTTCAACGAGCGAACGGATGATATCCCGGAATATAGTGTCATCACATTTTTCCATCCGTGAATCAATACGTGAGAATATATATATATATATATATATATATATATATATATATATATATATATATATATATATATATATATATATATATATATATATATATATATATATATATATATATATATAGCTTAGCTTATTATCAAAAATTATTTGTAGTTCATATCGCGCCCTCTATTGTGACAGTGTCAGATTGTAGCACCGCCTTGTATAATGATTGTTCTTTCATAAGAAAAAATTAGTCATTTTCAAACACTCATGAAAACTAGTTGTTTCGATTATATCGTTTTTACCTCTGTTTCTCACAGACGTGATCGTGATTTACTGAAGTCCCTGATGTAGTAACTTGTCAAAGTCCGATTGATCTCTGTTGCTCTTTTAGTCTGGTTGATATTTTTGAACCTGTTTCCCCGATGTATTCTTTGGCACAGCTGCACGGTATCTGTAACCACCCGCTATCACGAGAGGAATTTTATCTTTTACCGATCGTAGAAATTGAGAGATTTTAGGGCCTTTACTTCTCCTAGTTCTAGTCTAGTCTAATTTTGATGATTTTTTTTAGAATTATTGATCTTTGATCGTATCATTTGCAGTTTGGGTTGATGATTTATTTAAACCAGATTCGAGGTTACAAATTCTGGCCACATTAATCTCTTCATACATTTCTGAACAATTTAAATTCCATGCAAACAAACATCAATTTCACAATCGAATTAGAGAATAACAATACTCTTCCCGTGTATAGAAAAACCACTCGTAGAGAACGATACCTAAATGCAAATCATCCGTGATCAACCCGAATGTCTTAACCAGGAATTAACATCTCATTTCAGTTCTTCTCCCAAACAATTTTCGTTATCAACATATCCAACGTTCAATTAAAAAAAAAAAACTTCACCAAAACCACTTACACAAAGTAACTCCGTAAATGACTTCCATATGTTTCAAATATCAAAAATTATCCTAAAATCTCCCAACATCTGCGATAAGTAAAAGATAAAATACCGCCTACCCCGTAGCTGTGCCCAAGAATACATCGAGGAAATAGATAAAAAATTATCGACCAACACCAGATATGTGGGTTTTCGGGGATGAGAAATTAGATGATGTAATGTTATGCAATAACTTATAGATGGCGCCACCTGCACACTCTTTTTGCAAAGATACACTTCTATATTTTTTTGTATATTCTCAAATTTAAGTTCTAAGACAGGGTCGTTTTCTGGTATTTTATTTTTACTTTTTGGTTAGTTTTCTATTTTATCAAATTTAGTTAAAATTAAACTTTGTTTCGCAATTAATGTTTATAAAATTAAAATAGGCTTGATCGGTTTTTGTTCCGTTATAATTTTTTTGTGTTACGTTAAAATTTTGAGTGTTCTGTCATATTTGAATTATTTGTGTTTATTTTTCGTTTTGCAATTTTTGTTAAAAATGCTCAGGCATAATAGGTTTTCAAATTGAGAAATGAGAGGTATGGTGTGTTTATGTCCAATTCAATTAGAATGATCGTGTTGCACTTCATCAGGAACATTTTTGGTAACATATATGACTGTTTGGGAGCTTCAGCATCTTTTCGTCAAAAGGAGCACAATTTAGGATGTCCAAAAAATATTGCACTAGATCAGGAAAAATAATTCCATAATGTCATTACATGTAGCTGATGAACCACAAACAAGTATTTGTCCCTTAAGTGCAGCTACTAGAATAAGTTCTGCAGTTTTTAAAAATAAAACCAATAATTCGGAACATTTAAAACAAAAAGTGAGAAGAAATGCAACGCGTACGCGTTTCGCCGTAACAATTCTCTGAGAAAAAAGATCACTCTAGCACTGCACATTAAATTCTAAAAGTGATTAAATCGGAACAAAAAAAAAAAACAAATGCTTACCTTAGAATACTCACATATCTGCACAAAGCTCAAATTCTCCTTCTTAAAGTAGTTTCTTACTCTAACATAATCAAAGTAGCTCGGTATGAATACCAGAGTTTGTTTCATGAAACTGTCCTTTCTCTGCGGCAATATTTTCTTAACAAAAAAATTAAACCGCGTTTCGACAGCATCAGTGGGTCCATTGGCCTCAAATCTATGAAACACATGGGGAACCTGAACAAACACTCCATTGATACTGCCTGATACGATCCGATTTATAATCCTAGCCTTGCCAGCGTAATTAAAACACTTTTTATTAAAAATGGAGTTTAGTTCTGGGATGGCAATGGAGGAAAATATCAAAGTTTGTCGGTAGTACTTGGCCCAAAAATTTAAACTCCATTGCCTGACTCTTGATACATCAGTACCATGCAAATCTTTTGGTTTGAGGTGCATGTGGTTAAAAATGTGAATCAAGTGATCCCAGTTCTGCATGAAAAATATTTCCGCTTGGTCTAGGACCAGTAGTTCGATTGAGGTTAGGAAGTCAAAATCCCGTGCTGGTTCTCCTTCGGCACCTATGACTGTTCTCAGACCTAAGGGTGATGCTATAATAATATCAGATGAGTAGAAGTCTGCAAAAAGCTAAAAGAAAAGACCATGAGCGTTTCTGTAATTACTCTTTTAAGTTAGGAACAACCCATATAGCTACTAAATAATATAGTGGCCGTAATACAGTAAAAGCTGATGCTCTTCAGGTGGCTATGACAAGTACACTAACCTGAACTTTGGGCTATTTTCTTTCCAGACGGCGATATCCATACACATGAATCGTTTTTGCATGAAGATTTAATGGAATCTGGATATATTTTGAAAAAATACTACCGTAAAAATTCCGCCATGTTGGTTGTCAAGGTCAATGTTTTTTCATAGTTGCTTTATAACTTTCTCTATTATCAGCATAGGCAGCGCTCTATATCTCTAAGAGCTATATGGGAACACCTAATACAGGCTAGTTTCTTATATAAACTTTGGGTCAATCGACAACCAATGTTTAATGAAAAATAATGCTTGTAGTTTTTACATTACAAACGAAAATAGACGGAAATAAAATATTAGGGAAGTATTAGCATTTTAAAAACACACTTACTGCATATTTTTTTTAACATAAGTGCAAACATTCTCAATGCTAGAGAATAAAATAAAATTTTGGATAAACAGGTTTATTAGAAATTTTCCTCCTGGAATTTTTTCACCAAAACTTCCAAATATGCTTTTTACAAAACTTCTGGATTCCTCCTGCGTCGGTTTTTGCTTAGTCGAAATTGCTGACGTTTCGCACATCATCCTGTTGGCTTATTCAGAGCTCCGTTTCAGTCAAGTTCTGAAGAAGCCAACAGGATGATTGGCGAAACGTCAGCAATTTCGACTAAGCAAAAACCGACGCAGGACGAATCCAGAAGTTTTGTAAAAAGCATTACAGTAGCCTGTGGAAGTTTCTTTGAAAAAAAAAAAGTTTCCAAATAAAAAATTAAAATGTAAAACATTGCAAGGAAGCTTCAAAGAAATGTTGATTTGCACGGTTGTTCTTAAAATGTATATCTGCCATTTCTGCAATAGTGTAATTAACCATTACTGAATTAACATTGTTATTATTGAACAATTAAATAATTACATAATACATTTTTGAATAAACTAATTGTATTTTGTATTCATTGTATTGCTTTAGATTTTATATTTGGAAATGGTAAGTATTATTAAAGAATTGTTGGAGACAAAAATTTCTAAATAAAACATAAAATAAAAGAAACTATGTTTTTTAGGTCATTGCATAAGTGTTCCTTAAATTTAGAAATATGATAGTGATGGTCTTATTCATTACTCTACTCATTACTATTTGTTTTCGTTTTTAAGATAAAAATTTAAAAAAACATTTCTCGGCCATCATTATAGTATGATATCTCCTTAAGGGTCAATCCAAAGTTTATATAACAAACCACCCCTCATTTTAATTAAGGAATCACACCCTTAAATTTTTCTCATTTGTATGGAAACATACTGTATAAACAGTCAGAGTTTGACAGAATTGAAATTAAATAAAAAGTTAACACAGGTATAATTAAAAGAGGCACATTTTTGCATTGAAGAATCCAAAAATGCTATAATATACATTTTTTAAATCTTATGTGCAAAAATTGTTGATATTGATCACCTTGAAGCCAACTTACCTTCAGACTTTTTTTAGTGACCGCAATACCAATTTTAAAATTGTCATCTGTGTTTCCACTGAATAACTGTTCATAATCAGCTGGTTTTGGATTTTTCTTAGGAAAGTGAAGTTCATGACCCGAAAAATCCTCAATGAATCTATTCCTTTTTATAACATTTCCACTGTCATTAGATAAAAGAATTTCAATAATAGTGTTTATGACCTTAAGAGCTGAGTCTCTAAATGGCAGTATGATCAAAATCTAAAAAAAATGTGTGTTAAGATATATTGAATATTCAGATAGACTAAATCAAATTATCCTAACCAACCTTAGGCCTAACCAATCCCTGATCCCTGTATTCTTCAGGTACTTCCTCCTTATTACCCAGTTTGGCATTGTGGTGAAGAATTTTGATTCTAGTTTTCAGAATGTGATTAACAACATGCAAACAATAAACAAAACAAATCTCCTCGGCATTATCAAAGGTACGTACAGGAAAATATACATCTTGGTAGTTGTTAATCATTGTAAATAGCTCCTCCTGCAAGGGTGTCAGAATTGACTGATTCTCTCTTTTACTCTTATTTGCTTTTTCAATGTTCTGCAAAATTTGTGATTTCAAAAATAATTCATTTGCCGTCGATTTAACCTGTTTTGGCAATGTTGGTGGAATTGCATATTTTGCATTGGTATTAAGTGCTTTATTTGAATTATTTCCAGTACTCGGAAACTTTGGTATTTCAAAATTGATCTTTCCAAGCCTTGGCCAACACAATGATTGGGTATCAATAAACACGGGAGTGGACTCCAACAACTCCAACAAATTTGGATGCAATTCATAATTTAGGTGTTGAATAAATGGATCTCCCAAATTTTCGTGTTCCATTGCTTGTGTATCTAATCCAAATCGGTTAACTTCGTCACCTGGATTGCCATTTATGTCTGAAATTTCGTTGGTGTCACTGTCATTATCGCCTAAGCTTTCCAGCGCTTCGTTTTGGCAAAGGACTTCACTATCACTATCACTTTCACTAACAACAGATTCCTGAGCATTTACAAGTTGCTGACCTGTGAAAGATTCTTGGAGCTTTGCCAATGGATCTTCAAAATCCTCTTCACTTTCAGAAGATTCTTGTAACTGTGCTATAACTTTTTGTCTTTTTGAATCGACTAGTTCTTCCTTCTCGGCATCTTCCGTCGCTTTACTTTTATTAGAAATTTTCCCCTTAAAGCTTGTTTTCGTTTTCTTATGATCGAACTTAAATTTGTTATTGTTTTTCTTGAGTTTTTTCGGTCGGACAGAGATTCGATTTTTTACTACATCTTTGTACTTTAATTTCCGCACCATATTAACTTTGAAACTTAAAATCCAAATCTGTAACAAAACAATTACAATGTTAGGTTATTCTTCTTCTTACTTCTATTAGTCGAACTGCTAAGAGCAGTTGGCCAGTTTGCAACAATTTATCAATTTGTGTACAAATAAGGTTGACAATAACCAACACTAAACTTTGATACAAAAAACTAAAAACACTTAAATCAGACCGATTTTTTTAAAGTTGAATAACGAATTTATACTTATTACCTTGTTAATCTATGGAAGGCTATACCTACAAATGTATCAGACTCTGTGTAAAAGTACAGAAGATAATCTTTGGGTTAACTCAATAAACTAAACTTCTGCATTGATTGCTACTTGGGAACGCTTAGATTGTTTAAATAACTCAAAATTAGTCCACTTCTTTGAAGGCCCGAAAATTCTCCACGGAAGGCGGAAATAGCCTAATAATCCGGGCAATCTTGCCCAACAGAAATGTGAAAGGCATAATTAAATTGAATTATCTATGAACCTTACGGCATTTTGCACGTGGAAGCTTTCTGATTTGTAGGTGGAGGATGATGGAGTCATTAGAAATTCGGTTGAGATGAATAATTGTGGCAACGGTAAGCCCTTGTTTTTTAACCACAGATAATGTTGATTGAAATTGTTACCTATGGCGATAACCATATTTTGAAACCAATTGATTTATTTTAAAAAATATGCTTGAAAACATAGTTGGAATTTTTTTGTTGTTGGGACTAATATGTTGTTTTGCGTAGTAAAAAGCTAAAAAATCGGTATATGATGATTATTGTTACCAAATTTGAAACTGGGTTTTCCATCTGTGATAGAATTTGAGGCATTTGTCTGATTTAATTTTAAACTAAGAATTGAAAGAATTTTTGTCTTTTTGTCTTGCTTTAGCACTAGTACCTAATTTGCTTTTGTTTTCAGAACGATTCTGGATACTGTGTTACAGTCGTTTTGGTGAGGTAAATATTTTATTGAATCATTTTTCAGTTTTTTGATTGTTTCAATATTAAACACTCATCAGCATTTTTGTGAAATTACGTAAATAATACAGATTAAAATTACCTTTAATTAAACTTTCATTATTTTTATTGTTACCTATAGCTATAAACATAATTTTGAAGCCATTTTTGTTTTGCGCAGACATGTTCCAGTAAAATGCTATAAAGTTGATATATGATGATAATTGGTACCAAATCTGGAACTGGGTATTCCATCTGTGATAGAATTTGAGGCATTTGTCTGATATAATTTTAGATTAATAAGTGATGGAACTTTTGTCATGTGTAGCCGTAATCCCTAATATCATTTTGTTTTCAGGTGGATATTCTCTTACAGCAGTTTTGGAGAGGTAAATATTTTTTGACCTATCTTCCACTATCAAATCATCCTTTTTATTATTTGTCATACCTTGTAAACCTAGCAATGAACAAATTGATATATGATGATAACCAGTACCAAATTTGAAACTGGGTATTCCATCTGTGATAGAATTTGAGGCATTTGTCTGATTTTACTTTAAATTATAACTTTGAAAGTATGGTTTTATAGAGCAAAAGATCCTAATATCATTGATTTTCAGAATGATAAGGGATATATTGTTTCAACAGTGTTTGGTGTGGTAAGTATTTTGCTTATATATTTTGTAGGTTTTCACCTAACACAGATAGTATATATGAAATTTAGGTAGTCTATTAGTACTGAGAGTTTTTTAGTAACCTTAAGTTTTTGTTTTACTACCTTTGCTACATTTTTTTTTGTATAAAATCACATAGTAGTAGTAATTTATGATAAATTCTTTGTTTTGTGGTGACAATATTCTGCAGAGTTGTTGGATAAACATGTTCCAGTTAAATTTGGACAATTAACTTTTAAAATATATTGTGTATTTTTAGTAGTTTATACAGAACAAAATAAATTAGAAATAAAAACTGCCAACTTCTGTTTTTTATTTTATATAAAACCTAAAATGTGCATACCTACTTAGATTTTTGAATCTTTTGTTTAATGTTTGGTTTCAGCCTGTTGAAAGTTAAAGACACTTCATGCTATAATGGCATATTTCAGATTTATTTTTACGATTACATTATTTTGAAAAACAGCAGACCTGCACCACATATTGTAGGTCGTGAATATTAAGATTTCATTTTTCAAATAGGTGAATAATTTTGGTTGTTAAAATTGTAGATAATTTATTTGATTTACAAGCCATTGCAAATATAATATAATTAAAACATAACTGTATAGCTAGAAACCTGCTGTACGAAATTATCGATGCCGCCTGGGGCGCATCAATTTTTACCATGATAGGGCCACTATATTATGTAATAGGTATATGGTTCCTGCAGTAGACCCATATAGCTACTAGAGATATAGAGGCTCTACCTATGCCATATAGGTACTAGACACATAGATAGACGCCCTGCCTATGCTGACAGTACAGAGGAACTCATGAAGCAGCTATGTAACATTTGTTTTAGTCCATTCAACGTGCGTCATTTTTACGGCAGTATTTTCTCAAAATATGTCGAAATTCTATAAAATTTTTAGGCAAAGAAGGAGTTAAGGTGTAGAAAAGTAGCGCAGAATTGCAGCACGCGGCTTCAGTATAATTTTGTAATTAATTTGGCGTTTTTGTTCTTTAAACCCTGTAGATACAAAGCAATTTCTACATGTATTTTTTCATGTAAGTTATTTTTGCGATTTTTTTTTGCTTATAAATTGGCTCAAAGCGTTAGTTTTCATAAACTCAGGTTTAACTTCTATTGAAATAACTTTGAGATGCTAGATATGGCACAAGAAACATTTAAGTAGAAATAATGTTCAACAAGCACCTCCTATAAACAGTAGTTGACAATGGGTATTTCCTATGCTTGTTCTAGTAAAAATTCAACTTGTAGCTTAATTGTTTTCTTATATTTCCTGTAATTCCTGTACATTAAAACATATTACCTGAACATTCTTCGAACATTCTTCGTAGCTAATTTAAATTCACATGTAAATATTTGTGTAAGTCTATTTTCCAGTTTGTTAAATGTCAAATATATTGGTATTGGTATTAAAGGGGTGCGTCCAAGCACTTAGGCCACCAGATGGGCCCGTTGTGCCCCCAGGCCGCTCTAGAGGGCGTCCAGAATGCCGCCCTTCCTATAGAAGGTCAGCAACTCCTTTAGCCCAATACCATGCACTGAGTTCGGATCAATCAGGGCCGTTTCGAAGACTCCCAATCTTGCCCATGTCAAAGCAGGGCACTCGGTGAGCAGGTGATACGGGGTCTTCTCCTCTTCCGTGCACCACCTGCACTCCGGGTCGTCTCCAATGCCTAGCAAGCAAAGATGCCTCCTAAGCCTGCAATGTCCTGTGTAGGCCCTTGTTAGTGCTCTACACTGCCTTCTGGTCAGTCTAAGCAGCTCCCTGGTCCGAGGGAGGGAGGGCCCATCCATCATAAGCCTCACCTGCCTCATTCCCGGAGCAACTCTCCAGCCCACCGCGGCCCGGTCTCTCGCCCCCGCTCTTTTGGTCCCCGGCCACCATGCCACTGCCCCATGCGTGAGCATAGGCACCACCATGGTACCGTAGATCCACTGCATGATCTTCGGCCCCAGGCCCCAAGTGCTCCCTACCGCTCTCTGGCACACCCACAGAACTCCAAAGGCCGACCTGGTCCTTGATCTTATATGTTCCTGTAAGGTCAACTTGGAGTCCAACCATACCCCCAAGTACTTGACACTTCCGCTTGCAAAAAGAGGCAGGCACCCCATCCATTGAAATGTTGAGGTTGCACTCCATCTTCCTTTTTCTGGTGAAGATGACCATCTCCACCTTGCCAGGATTGACAGCCAACTTGTCAAATGTCAAATATATAGGCATCACTATTTCTCTAAGATCCTATTATCCTATATTTGCCACATTTGCTGTAATTTGCTATTGAAAGCACAAATTATACAAGTTTGTGACTACGCTACGGAGATATTGATACCAAAAATGAAATAACTAACTATATATTACATTATGGCCTATGCCGATATTAAAGCAACTTGTGAAGCAATTATGAATGAATTTTTGAGAAGGTTCATTCACCATGCGCATGCGCGAAATTTACAATTTCGTTTTTGAACAGTTCGGGCGGTATTTTTACGACAGTATTTTCTCAAAATATATCGTTAAATGTTTTCGGAAAACGAGTTAGTGTGTGAAAATCGCTGCAGTTAGTTGGAGAATATAGAGGCATGCGCGGACATAACCTTCTCTACGAAAATGCCAGTGCCGTTCTGCGGGGCATCAATTCTTACTGTAGTATGACCACTATATTATCTTACAGTTGGACCCAATTAAAATTAAATGTTTTGCTTTTAATTCGCCTTCTACAAAACTCCAGCTTTCGCAAGATGTTGCTCTTGCCTCACACCCAAACCATACATCACAAAAAATGGTAACAGAGCCATTAATAATGGTTGATTACGCAGGTATACAAAGGAAACGTGAAAACATCTTGCCAATAAAGCAGGCACGTTTGTTTAAGTGTAGCAGCGTTACCATTGGAGAATAAGTTGGCGAAGTCAGATGAAATTTTTACAATAAAAGTGGCGTTAAAACCCACATTGTATCAAAACTGACAAATCTGTATTCCTAGGAAACCAGTGCCTGTCTACATAAGGTTAGTACCCGTTAATTCATTAGTTGAGTTGAAACTCTTGGCTTCTAGGTGGCGCCACGCAAACGAACACAACTCGATAGCTTGAGTTTATTTAAAAGCTACATTACAGTTAAAAAAAATTGTTGCATATAATTATTTTTAAGAAAAATTCTCGTGTGAAATTTCTGCAGAAATTGTGAGCATACGCAAATTGGCAACTATAGCGGTATAGCCACAAACAGGGCGGAAATTTCTCCATAACAGTTTTATCCATAAATTTTGTTTGTTAAATTAAATTAAATTTTGTTTGTTAAAAGTTGTTTGCATGAATGTCCCGCATACAATGAAAATAATAACATCATTTTTGGATTTGCAAGAAAATGTAATTATAAGTTCCTTCAGGTGTCCCTATACTTCACTAATAGTTTGTTAGATTTTTGATTGTTTTAACCTTTTAACTATTTATTGACTTACAAAAGAGGAAAAAGTTTGCATTTTTAAACATGACCCGTGCACATTATTTTATGATCGGGTGCAGAATAATTTTGTATTCATCGATATATATCTTTCCTCTTTTCATTTTTGGCAGACACTGAAATATAATTTTGTTTTTCGAAATAAAACGAGTCCAATAACTAATGAAAAACGTAAAAAAACTTGAAATATAAGAAAACAGGAATACAAAATTCAAATAAAATTACAATAATTATTCTACAGTATGTCCATGGATGGAGTAGACAAGAGGACAAATAGTGAAAAATGAAATGTACAGAAAAATGTCATTTTTTATGAAAGCTTTAAAAATAAGGTTCGCAGTGCCTAACGTTTGTTTTTTGTGTAGGTACCCCAAAAATAAAAAAATTGCTATTGAGGCCTGTTGAGCTCAATCATGCACAAAAAAATTATTTGCAGTTTTTTTTTACCGGTATCCCTCTAAAGTTACGCTCCCTGACCAAAAATTAACTTTTATAATTTTAGAATCAGATTCAGCATGGCAAAATAACTGAAATGTTAAAATTTGAAAAAACCATTTTCAGGTCTATTCCTTTTAGGACTTGTGGCTTCGCTAGAGGACATTTCTCCACATATATTTATATAGAAAACTGGGACTTATTTTGGACGTAGAATATGTTGTTATAGTTTGGTCCACTAATTTAGGAACACCCCGTATAATAAAAATGTCTAGAAATTTAACAGAATATAATATACAAGATGTTCAATTTAAAATAAGAAGAAAATTGTTACTTTTGAAGAAATATGATCGCACACCCTCATTATTTGTTGACTAACATCATTATTATCATTATCATCATCATTTGAAGCTATATTGATTATCCTCAACTTTTTGAGTTCTCGTTTTGTCTTCATATCCAACAAAAATTAAACCTTCAATTCTCTGGATATCATTTAGATCCGCCATACTCACTCTCTTTACTGACATAAATGTAATTGTGATAATTTAATAATTTTACTGGTTCTAACTACCAACCTGTTCAATTTAAAATTAAATTTATGTTGTTTATTCTCTTGTTGTTTGATTTAACAAAATATCGTTCCATTTTAAAATAAGTCCTAGTTTTCTATATAAATACATGTCCAGAAATGTCCTCTAGAGGAGCCACAGGCCCTAAAAGGAGTGGACTGAAAAATGGTTTTTTGAAATTTTAATATTTCAGTTATTTTGGCCTGCTGAATCTGATTCTAAAATTATAAAAGCTAATTTTTGGTCGGGGGGCGTAACTTTAGACGGGGTACCGGTAAAAAACTGCAATAACTTTTTTGTGCATGATTGAGCTCAACATGCCTCAATAGCATTTTTTTTTATTTTTGGGGTACCTGCACAAAAAACAAACTTTAGGCATTGCGAACCTTATTTTTAAAGCAGGCAAGAACATTTATAAAAAATGACATTTTTCTGTATATTTCACTTTTATTTGTCCTCTTGTCTACTCCATTCATGGACATACTCTAGAAAAATTATTGTAATTTAATTTTGTATTCTTTTTCTTATATTTCAAGTTTTTTTACGTTTTTCATTAGTTATCGGGCTCTAAATTTAATTTTCTAGGTTTGATTTCTTGTTTTAACATTTTCTTGAAAATCCAAAAATAATGTTATTTGCGATTTTCATCGTATGCGGTACATTCATACCAATAACTTTTATATTTAAAATTTATGGATAAAACTGTTATGGAGAAAATTCCGCTATGGTTGTGGCTATACCGCAACTAGGATTTACGGCGATTATTATATCACACCAATTGTGCAGAAACTTCACACGAGAATTTCAGGT